AGCAGACCAAATGCAGATGTTTAGTTCAGACTGGGCTGAATACCTCTTTAGTCACTAGCACTGACTAGATCATCACTGGAGCTATGGTACTGATGTTATGCAGCTACAATAAGAATGCCTACATTTAGATACCTGAATCCAGAAATTAACTCTATTCTAGACATACAGCTGAGAATCTTTAGCACAGGACATATGATTTATTTGACCTGTTTTCAGTATCCACAGCAGTTTGTGAAGACCAGGCTCTGTCTCCTTATGCACATTTCCCAAATCACTTCAAATATGAGTTCTGTCTTAAACATGCACTTAAAATTTACACGAGTACCTTTCTCGTCTGGAATAAGCACATGTGGAAGTAGCTTCCTAAACCACGGACTCAGGCTATAAGCATCTCCAGAAAATGCTCCTCTGCCTTTCATGTTCTGATGCAAGTACAACATTACTGTTCTACAGACGTTACTATTATCCTAATTATGAGTCTGACAGCATTCAGATTCTTGATCTTTTAAGTGCTTCCTGTGATAGCTGAAAGACAAGGTCTCCTTTATCTTCAGGGCATACATTTATAGAAGATTATAGACTTAATGCTACCTTTCTTATGTGACTCAGGTTTCACATGAAAAGAAAATAACATAAGGAGAAAATCAACGCATTCTTGGAGATGCCTGATGGCGTGAAATTACTCCAGTACTACTCAAATGCCAGAGCAGTGACCTCCACATTCAGCTTCTTTGTGGATTTGTTCCGTTGCAATCTTCAGTAGGCTTCTATTTCCAGAAATACAAAAGATGGCACTGCCCAGCAAATCAAATATCTAGCTTCAGTCGTACAAAGCTGCTGTCCTCATATGCTCTCTTAGATTTTCTCCTCCATTTAACACAAGACAGCAGAGCAAGTGCTTCATGGGTGAAGCATCCCCTTCACTTGCCTTTTCCTCTCAGCAATCTGGGAGGTTCTCCAGTTTTATGTGAGTGATCAAGTGAACACAAACTCTGAGCAGCTGCGTAACGAAATGAAAAATTTCACAGCTGTTTCCTCTGGGAACATTTTTGGTTCTGTGTTGTTCAAATGTCCCTTGCTGTCTAACTGTGGCAACCTATGAACTCTCTCTCATCAACTCCTGGCCTCTGTTCATTCAAGAGGGGTTCCTGTTTATATAGCTGTCAGGTGGTGACAGTGACCAGACAGACCCAAGAGGCTGCCTCCTCTCCTCATGGCCCTATCCCTTCAGAGATGTCAAAAAACAGGATACAAGAAAGAACTCTCATATTGATAATGGAAGAAGTGCAGTACTTCTTCACTTCGCATGTTGATGGCTGCCTGCCTTTGCAGCCCTGACAGCAGGCAGGGAGATGCCAGGTTTTTTTATAATGGCCTGTTAACAAAATGACAGATGAAGTTGCATCGGCTGGTTTTGCTGTTGTTGCTTGCTACAGCTTAGTGGATGCAATAAGATTGACTTGAATGACCTTCTGGCTTCATCAGCATACCATCCAGTTTAATGATTAATATTAATACAACATTATTGAAGTTCAGATTGGACATTAGGAAAAGGTTCTTCAGTGAGAGGGTGGTCAGACACTGTAACAGCCTCCCCAGGTAAGTGGTCATAGCATCAAACCTGTCACAGTTCAAGCAGCATCTAGACAATGCTCTCACTCATATGATTTAGTTTCAGGTAGCCCTGTGAGGAGCAGGGAGTTGGATTCGATGATCCTTATGGGTCCCTTCCAACTGGAGATATTCTATGATTCCATGAATGCTGCAAAGTCAAATTGTTAAATGCTAGGAAATAGCAGAAATAAGTTTGCCTGCACCACATCAGTTCAGCCTTCTGCACATCTCTAAGTTACACAGGCTACCCAGAAAACTTTTCACATGGACCCCTTGCCTTGCTCTGTGATTAGCAAGGAGAAGCTCAACTAGTAAGAAAACATTTTGGTTTTCTTCACTGCTCACTGTCCGGCTTCAGGCTTTATTTGCAGTGCACTGTTTGGGAGAGACATAAAATTGGTTCTTCATGGGGTTTCCTATGGTGTTCAGCTCTGTAAAACGCGAGCACTCTTAAGCACTAAATAAATTGAATTTTCACACTATTCCAGCAGGCTGAAGGGCTGGTGCTGTCTTATCTAACAAATAGGGAATGGAAACAGCGCAACTCAGGGCTTACAGAAATTTTTGATGCCACTTCTCACTGATGTTAGATAACACTTTTAGTGTGCAATGCTTCTCTATAACAATACAACTCAGCTGAGAACCCAGCTTATTGCATGAGTTTCCATAGCAGTTTATAGCTTGCTTAGAAAACACAGCCAAAGGGGTTGGAAGTTTCCCTTCCAACAAGACAGTGTGAAGCTTCATCTGGAAAACTTTGTTCTCTCTCTGAAACGTTTCACAGCATTTCATATTCTTAGAAGAATCAATCAGATAAATAGCCAGCTAATTAGCCAAATAGCTGTACTATTACTGCATAACAAATGCAGACCCGGGTACGAGAAACATGAAGCTCAGGCTGGCTCACAGTCTGTTTCTCAATGTCTTTTATCACAGAAAGAAAAGTTCCTGATAATTACAACATTAGCAACAAAACAGTCAAGTTCTAGCTCCATTATAAGGGGCACATGGGGAAACAACAACTCAACTTAAATTCTGCAGCAAACTGTCAAACTTAATTCCTCGGGTATGTGATCAGGGGTATAAGCCTTACAAAATGGACTTACTTCTGGACATAAGTGTTTTGAAGTTTCAATATTGTGTGTTGTTTCAACTAAGCAGTGCAGGATGTTGGCAATGATCATATTAATACAGTGCCTAGAACCAGTGACCTGGAAATGTTGCTAAATTTAAGACCTGACAGAAGAAATTTCAGCAATGCTCATGTTCTTCCCCCGTTCTTCCCATGTCTCTGCTGTTTCAGATATTCACCTGGTGCACCATGTAGTCTGCACAGGGGGACTCCAGCTGTCTCCTCCCTGGGCATCTTTGGTCAGTACCTGTCTCAGCAGAAGTGGGCAATTGCTGAACATGGGACCTCTGACTATATCTGACAACAGGCTGACAACATCAGATGTGCCTAGGAGCAACGTTTCCTCGTATTCTTGTTCCTAACCCACACGCTACATGCAGTCAAGCCCTTACTGCCCCAAACAACTCAGATACCTGCCAGAAGAAAGCAATGTGCTCACAAAGTAATTTTCTTAAGACAGGTAAACAAGTTGGATTAAGCTGAATGCTTAAAACAATGCATTCAACTTGGTCTAGAAAGCATTTTAACCACATAGATGGGATTCTAGATTATGGGATCATTACCTTACCCTGAAATAACTCACAAGCAGTATCCTTTTGCTAGCTTCACCTAGCTAATTATCTGGGGATATAAAACATTGAAGTTCTCCAGATGTTGCTCTCTTTCTATCACAGAGATCATGACTGGACTGCAAGAGAACCACATGTTTTTCAGGCTGCATAAGGTATATTATCAGTAAGAAAACAGCTTGTCAGGACTAGAACAGGTCATACCAAATAAATCTTTCACTGCGTGTAATTTGGCATTTAAAAAGCCTGCCTTCCCTTAATAGTATTTGATGGGCCCAGTGTTCTCATGGTACAAAGGTGGGCCCAGTGCCAGCTGGAGCACAAGACCAGATTACTTTAGGTATGGTCCTGCAAAAGGCCCCTTATTAGAAACAAACCCTGCTCAAAGACAGCTACTGTTTGACCTCTCTCCTCCTGAAACAAACATTTTTAGAAGATTTCTTAAATATTGTTTACTTTGCCCTTGAAGGGTCCTTTTCAACTTGGTTAACTACCAAATCTAAGACTTAAGAAGAAGGAAAAGAGAATGCCTTAAGAAAACAGTAAGTTCTTTCTGGTGGAAGAAAGTTTGCCTGGCTCTGGATAAAACACAGTCACAGGTCAGAGACTCTGCCTCTGGGAAGAGTCTTCATGGTGACAAACCAACACAACATGTTGCTCCTAATTGAGCTCCCTCTTCCAGAACATAGATGACCAAAACTGGCCATCACACATGAAACGGTACAGCCC